GCCATTTCGAGTGTATCGGAGGCATTGTCACTTGAAAATATTTTGTTTTGAAACCAATTGATAAAGTTGTTGTTATGCTCTTTCATCAACCACCTTTCACCCATTTTGGGGTTTAGGTCCTTTAACATGGCTTTATGCGCATCTATGTAAGGAATAACCTCTTCACGTATTGTTCAAAATATACAAGTGGGCGGTGCTCAATTCTACATGATCTTTTGTTTGAATTCTAATACCACGAGTTCCCTTACCATTTAGCCTATCATCATGACGATTTCTAGGTACACCCACAGTACGACTCTTGCCAAGTAATCTGTACAAAATTCTATGGCTTCTTACGCAATATACCGCTCAACAATTGAAGCTTCGGTGTCGTATGGATTTTTAGAATACCCTTTGAAGATCTTCATGTATCGCTTCAATTGGGTACATCCACCTCAAATAAACCGGCCCACAAATTCGTATCTCCCTCACAACATGAACTATTAAGTGAATCATTATATCAAAGAATGATGGAGGAAAATACATCTCCAATTGACATAGCACAACCGTAGCCTCATTTTCCAACTCATCTAGTGATTTTTCATCGATAACCTTGGCACAAATAGAATTGAAGAAAAAACATAGTCGCATAATGGCATGTCTAACATTCTTAGGCAATATGTTATGTATAGCCACGGGTAACAAGCTGTTGCATCAAAACGTGACAATCATGGGACTTTAATCCAATTAACTTCAGATCTTTCATGGATACAAGACTCTTAATATTTGAAGAGTATCCTTGTGGCACTTTAATACTTTCAAGACAATGACATAAACTACGTTTCTCCTTCTTTGACAAGGTGTGACATGCTCTGGTGGTAGATATGTTCTATTGCCTTCGAGGCCTTGGATGTAATTCGAGACGTATTCCCATCTCACAAAGGTCTTGACGTGCTTTGATCCCATCCTTTGACTTTCCTTGAATGTTTAACAATGTGCCAATGAGACTATCACATACATTCTTCTCCACATGCATAACATCAATACAATGTCGTACTTCTAAATGGCTCAAATATGGAAGATCAAAGAAAATTGATCTCTTCTTCCACATGTTCTTGTTAGAAGACCTTTTTTGGGTCTTTCCAAATGTAATGCTTATGTTCTTCACTCGATCGTAAACTTGTAAACTAGTCAATGGTTCTCTGGCAATTTCATCCTCATGTATGCCATTAAAAACTTTCTTCAGTCTACGGTATGGATGGTCATGCGGGAGAAATTTTCTATGCCTGTTATAAACTGTCTTCTTTCCATGTTTCAATTGTAGATAACTGGTCTCTTCTTCACAAATAGGACAAGCATAATGCCCCTTCACACTATACCCACTCAAGTTTCCATAGGCAGGGAAGTCATTAATGGTACAAAATAACATTGCATGCAACTTGAACTTCTGATGCTGATACCCATCAAATGCATCTACTCCTTCCTCCCATAATAATGTTAAGTCTTCTATCAAAGGACTCAAATACACATCTATGTCATTTCCTGGCTGTCTTGGACCTGAAATCATCATACACAACATGACATATTTGCGCTTCATGCATAACCATGGTGGAAGATTATAAATCATCAATAAAACGGGCCATGAACTATGGTTACTACTTAAATTTCCAAAAGGATTCATCCCATCTCGTTGCTAATCCAAGTCTAAGGTTTCTTGCATCACTACCAAAACTTGGAAATAGACGGTCAAAATTCTTCCATTGGGGAGAGTCGGATGGATGTCGCATTTGCCCATCACATGTTTTTCTCTTTGAATGCCAAATTAAATTTTCAGCATCTTCGTGAGCGTACAACCGCCTAAATCTTGGAATTATTGGAAGATACCATAAAACTTTTGCAGGAGGACGTTTTTTACCACTCTCCTGACTACAATCATCACCATCCTTTGCTTTGTAACGTGATACATCACATGTTGGACATTGGTCTAAAGATGAGAATTCTTTCCTGTATAACTCACAATCATTAGGGCAAGCATGTATCTTCCTATATTCTAAACCCATTGGACAAAGTATCTTCTTCGCTTCATACATACGGTCCGGCAAGGTGTTATTGTCTGGGAGCATCTCCTTCAAAAGTTGGAGTAATTCATTAAAACTTGTATCACTCCAACCAAATTTTGCTTTTAGATTGACCAATCTTAACACGGATGACAACCGTGTGAAAGTTGTACATCCGGGATACAAAGGTGTCTCCGAATCAGTCCTCAATGTATCATATATAGATGCATGTGCTTCAAGAAAGCTCTCTTGACCTACATCACAAAGCATGTCCTCTATTCGATCTTCGCGAGGTTACATCATCCTCAATAGTTTGTGATACTCGTTGGAATATCAACCACTTCACCGTGCCATGTCCATATGGTGTAATTCTTCATCATCCCATCGCAAATAAGATGTTCCGCGTTGTGTCCATCTCTTGTACTCGCCATTTACACAATTGACGCATGGCCAATAGATTTTTCCATTCATTTTGGGAGCATTTTTTTTGGCAAATTTCAAAAAGGAGTCAACTCCATTCTCATACTCTTCTGACATGCGACTTGCATTGACCCAAGTTCGATCCATCTAACTACACAAAAGGGCTTGCCTAGATATTCAAGGTTTATTAGAAAAGGTTTAGCAAAACAATACAAAAAAAATGTCTACATCTGATTTCCCACGTAAAGAATGGGAAAATAAAATGTGTACATCTACATTAGTATATACCAGTTCGAAACCGAAAACAAACTTCCAAAAGCCTAAAGGAACCTAGATCAAATCAAACCATACAAAATCATCCATCATCTTTCCAATGTTCATATGCGGAAATGCTCTAAATAATCTATATTTATGTTAAATGCATGTCGTAAATCATCCATACAACTTAATCGACTTAATCTAACCTCGATGAGAAGGGGTTTCCTTAGGGAAACGAGGGGTACCACACACACGGCAACAACGGCGGTGCAAAGTCGTGTAAGAGCGCGGCGAGGGCGGCGTTACCACGTCAAACAACGAACGACGAAGAAGGAGAGAACCGAGGTAGCGGCGCACGACATTGAGGACCGAGGTAGCAGATGACGAAGAAGAAGCAGAGAACCGAGACCAGAGCACGAAGAAGAAGCGAGAAGAACAACCGCGCGCTCCGGAGGCTAGGTATGTTAGGCCATTCGACGCTCGGTTATTAAAAACCCGACGTGGATAATGCTTTCGACGTCGGGTAAATCATGGAACCGAGCGTTGATTTTGGGATTTCAACATCGGTTATACATAACCGACGTTAAATTTAAACATTTAACGTCGTCTCGTCATCTAACCGACGTTATTTGTCCGTTACTACGTCGGATTTTTTATAACCGACGTTAAATATTGTTTCTTAATTACAAGTTTGCCATCGCGTCTTGTACAACGTCGGCCTTCATAAAAACCGACGTTGGATGCCTGTCGTAGTAAGTGTTTTCTACGTAGTAGTGTTTTAATAATTAATCTTATTTTTTTAAATAAATATTTTTTATAAATTTAAATTAATAAATTATTTTAAATAAAAAACATAATATTAAGGACAATAACCACTTATAAAATTTGATAACTGTTAAGGATAACCATAATATAATTTAATTAGTAATGTACAAATATTGTTTATAGAAATAGAAGAGAAAAATAAAAAGCACGTTACATATTTTTTTAGTTTTTATAGACTAATAAATAGAAACATTTTAAAAATTGAAAAAATAATTATTGAACTAATTTTATATTTGTTTAAAATAATTATCCTAAATGTTTATAATTTTTTAAATATAATGATTCTTTTATATATATATATATATAATCAAATACATATATTAATATTTCATAATAGCATGATAATAATTTTAAATATTTGAAAGACTTTTAAAATTAAATTTATTATGGATCTCAGTAAACTATTAAAGTGTGAAATAAATTTAATGAAATGGACAATAAATTAATAATAATAATATTTTAAATTTTAAAGAGAATGTTTATTATTTACCCCTAATTTTATCTTTTCACTCTAATTTATATTTATATTTGTACTTCAATCTATATATTATCATTGAACAATCTTTAACTCAACAAATTTTTTTGCAACGAACTGATTTAATTAGAAATGGTAAAAAAATAAAAAATTACTGCTTCTAAATAATTAAATTGAGATAAAATAAATAAAATCAGAAAAAATAGTTCAAATTTTAGGTTAAATTGATTTTATTATTATAATATTTATAAATATATTATTATATTTAATTCGATCGAAGCCGTTAAACTCTTCTACTCTTTACCCTTCACATATTTAATTATTGATTCCATTTTAAACACATTGTAAATTTTTATTCATACCTTTTAAATCCAATTTTTCATTCATCATTCAATCTAATTATTCATCCACCTTAACTAAAGTTTTTATTTACACAATGTTATTCTAAACCCAATAATTAAACTTAGTGCTATTTCTTTCACTCTTTATTTCTCATCATTTTTTAAATATTGTAGTCCCAATAATCCATCAATACAGGTATTTCTTTTTAAAGATTATTGCACTAAAATTAATCTAAATATTTCTTCTTACTAAATCATTTAATATAAATTTAAGTTATATTATTATAAATTATAAACCTATATAATTGTTGTGTATCCAATGTAAATTTAATGTTAATACTTAATTCATGATAGTTTTATTTAAAAGTAAATATATATTAACTAACACTTAATTAATAAATATTGATTTACCATTGATTTAATTTATAGTTATTAATAAATTAATTGTTTAATAAATAAATATTAATTTATTAGTTATTTAATTCATTGATGTATTAATTATCAAACTGATAATATTTTAATATAATATTATAAATTAATTATATTATAAAATTATTTAAATAATAAAATTTTAATAAATTATTAATTTAAGAAATAGTATTAATTATAATAAACAATATTAGTATTGTTTATTGATTTTAATAACTAAAATATTCGTTCCCGTGTCATTCTAAGAAAACCTAAATGATGCCTCTGGATCTCATCCTTAGCCACACTCTCACTCACTCTCTTCTCCCCCACCTTCACCCAAATTTCCCAGCTCCCCACTCTCAATCTTTTCCCATCTCCTTCCCCAAAACCAACCTTCCTCTCCTCTGGATCCCATCCTTCGCCACCTCGCCCTCACTCTCCTCTCACCTTCTTCTTTAGCTAACAACCATCGCGCCTCCGCCTCTTCCACCACCGTGGGCCCAACCCCCACCGCGTCTTCTTCCTCATCCCTCAATCACCCTTTCCATCTTCTTCAACTAACCCGCACCCATGACTGTGACCACCATTGAAACCCCTAGCTCTGCGCGGCGCAACTACCATCACCACCACTCCTCCATCTCATCCTCACCAAGCTCCTATCTCCAGCCCCTCTAACCCCCATTTTTCCCTCGCTGCACCACTCTCAGCCTACCTCCGCCTTCACTGTGAGTCAAACTGCAGGCTAGTGATTTGATGTGAAGCCTCGGACTAACAACGATGGTGTTTCCTTGAGCCTGGCTCCTCTTTCTTTGGTTGATTTATTTTTCTTTTTGAAAGATTTTGTCGGGGTTGAGTTTTGGTTTCTATTTTGTTCATGTTTGGGAGGGGATTGACTGGTTTGTTTATGTTGGCTATGGTTGGTTTATTCGTTTTATGCAGGACTCGGTCATCTTAGATCTTTGATTGTTGGGTTTGCTTGGGACTATTTTGATTTGAGTTGGATCTTGGTTTGCAGTGTTGAAATTAATAGGGTCTGCTATTTTGGTTTATTCGATTTGAGTTGGATCTTGGTTTGCAGTGTTGAAATTAAGAGGGTATGCTATTTTGGTTTATTCTAATGTTTTTGTGCCACATTTGTTTCGTGCCATCTACTTGATTATATTATTTCCTGATATTGTTATTTTCTTAGTTCGTTCATTGTTATTGTTATCTGAACTGTATATTGATTTTCACATGGACTGTTAGGGATCAAAAGTCCTTTTTGTTATTTTCTTTCCCTTTGTCTGTTAAGACCGAGGTTCTTGCGGCTTAAGTCATTTTGTTTTGTCATGCTGCTAAATTTTCACTGCGAATATTTTAGTCTATGATTGACATTATTTGTTTTTAATTTAATAGTTTATATATATTTCTAAGTGTGGTTGGACTCTTTGATGGGGCGCCTTTAGTTTGAAGTTTGAAATTGGTGGCTAGCGGCTTGGCCTTTTGTGGTTATCAACCCAAAAAAATGTTTTTGAAAACCTTATTTATGATTATATATCACACTCTTTGTAAAGGGGACACAATTCTATCACTTGAATATTGTTTTGGACTTCATGTACAGAGGATACAATTCCTTTTCTTGCAACCAGTCTTCATATATAGTACACTAATGCCAATCACTTATTGCATTATTATGTTTGATGAAAATACTGTTGAATATACAAGAATATGATGCTTGAATATTTTGATGATGATTTTAGAGCAAAAAATTTAAAGACTTATAATCATTTGTATTTACTTATAATAATTCTGTTTTATATTTTTGAGTCTCTAAAATTAGAGTCTAAGATAGTCAGTATATTTTTTGAAAGTTCAATTTTATCAAAATCACACAGTGATAATCGATTATCACTCAGGATAATCGATTATCCTACATTGAAACATGTTCTTTAAAAAGCTTGTTGGAATAATAGATTATTTGGGTTGATAATCGATTATCGCAACTGAAATAATCGATTATCTTAGAGGATAATCGATTATCCTGGTCCAGTTTACTCCTCTGCGAAAATTGTTATGTGATAATCGATTATCACTTAAGATAATCGATTATCTACGTTTGTTATGATTTTGAATTTCGAATTCTTGACCAATTTTCAAAACACTTATTTCCAATACTTCTATTTTCGAAAACTTCAATTCCCTAGACCCTAAACTTCTCAACTTAAGATTTTCTAAGACTCTCTACAAAATAACAACCTTTTTCATACAAAAGTTAAGAGTTTTGATTGCTAGATAATTTTGTGTAGGGAAGAAAAAAGGGTTTTTGAAACCTAATATGGGCTAGAAGCGATAAGAATTACTGAGTGAGACTCTTGGTGGATTGTGTGTTGTGCCGTCTCTAGGAAAAACTGTTGTTCGTTCTTTGTGGATTCAAAGGAGGTGTTCATCTCTTATGTGACTCAAGAGAGGTGTTTTCTAATCTTTATCTTTGTATTTGTAATCTGTTTGAAATGTGGTTATAGTGACAACGTTAATCCTCTTTTAGAGTGATTAGCAACTGAATGTAGGGTCTTTTGATCCGAATCAATATAAATCACTTGTGTAATCTTCTTATCCTTTCTTTTTTTATTTTACAAGTATTTTAATCAGTAAAATTTGGAAAAAATTTCAAAACCCTAATTTTTATAAAAAACCAATTCACCCCCTCTTGGTTTTGTCCGCAACTGTAAACATTCTATTGCACTCAAGTTCTAACAAGTGGTATCAGAGCTTGCTTTGATAGTTTTTCAAATATTTTGAAAATGGCTGGTTAAAACCAAACTTTTGTTGATGATGCTTCTATCAACAAACCCTCATTTTTTGCGGGGCAAAATTATCTTTTTTGAAAAATAAGAATGTAAATATTTTTGGAGTCTGTTGATAAGGGTGTATGGGATGCCATTATAAACTGTTATTTTATTCCCAAAGTTACTGTAAAGGATGTAGAAGAACCTAAAACATTTTCTAGATGGACTGCAGAAGAAAATAGAAAAGCTTAATATGATGTTAGGGTTAGGAATATAACTCCGTTTGCTTTGATCCTTGATGAGTTTTACAGAATATTGATTTGTAAAAGTGTTCAAGAGATGTGGGAAATGTTAAAAGTAACCCATGAAGGAACTGATGATGTTAAAGGAGCACGAAAGAACTCTTCAATACAAGAATATGAGATAATCCGAATACAACAAGGAGAAACAATCTTTGACGTTCAAAAGCATTTCACTCATATTGTCACCATCATCTCACTGGGCTTGGTAAAATTTTTGATACTGACGAAATAAATGTTAAAATTTTGAAATCTTTAAACAGGAAATGACAACCAAAGGTGACTCCATCACGAAGTTACAAAATCTTGCCACTATGTCAATGACAGCTCTCTTTGGAAAGTTGAGAGAGCATGAACTTGAACTTGGAAGATTAAATGATGAGGAAGGCCAAAGTGTCAAAAGAAACAATGTCTTCAAAATCGAGATTTCAAAAAGCAAGAACAAGAAGGAGGAAGAAGACTTTGAAAATGAGGAAGATCAAAATTTGAGTCTTATGATAAAAAAATTAACAAAGTTCATCAAAGTTAAAGGGAAACATGAAAGTGATGAAGATCTTATTGAAATATTTTGGTAAAGATCTCATTGATTTGATGAAGTTAAAGATGAAGTCAAAAACAACTTTACAGTGGACAAAAGTTATTAAGATAAAAGAGTAGAAAGATTAGTGTATCTGCAGTTATGCTTAGGTATAATCATTTTATTTTTTCTGTTGCATGAGGTTTCTTCACTTAAAAGATTTTGCAAAATGTCTCTAAAAATCTTTTAAACAATAAAAAACAAAGTATTTTGACAAAAGCTTTCTTAAACATGTTTTTTAACTGATACAGCTTTGATATAACCAATTAAAATTACTTAAAATGTTAAGTGAAATATTTTTACAGTATTTTAATCGATACAACTTGATTTTAATAGATTAAAATCACTTAAGAGTTCAGGATGATCGATCAGAATGAAATTATGATCGATCAAAATCAGTTATGATCGATCAGAATTGAGTTATGATCGATCAAAACTTTTTCAATCGATTAAATCTCGTTTCAATTGATTAAAACACCGATGATATCTTTCTTAACTTTTCTCTCCTTTAATTCTGTCGCTGCATTTATATTGATTGATTGCTTTGTAATTTAAGAACAAATCTGAAATCTTAATTTTTGAATTAGATAATCTGTAATTTACGAAAAATTTTTAAAGATCAATTCACTCTCCCTCTTGATTTTAGCTTACTTTTCTAACAATTGGCATCAGAGCGAGGTTCTTGAGAGTTATTCAAGTTCTTCGATCCATGACTGAAAACAGATTATCGTTTTCTGAGAGAGCTTCTATTAACAGACCTCCATTGTTTTGTGGAACAAATTATCCTTTTTGGAAAATTAGGATGAAGATCTTTATTGAGTCTATTGATAGAAGTGTTTGGGATGTAATTGCTAATGACCCTTTAATTACAGAAAAAGAATGATCCAGTTTAAATGATGAGGAAAAGAAAAAAGTTCAAAATGATTGCACTGCTAAAAATATAATTACTTCTGCACTTAACATGGATGAGTTTTTCAGGGTCTCCCAATGCAAATCTGCCAAGGAGATGTGAGATGTTCTTGAGGTTACTCATGAAGGGACAATAAATGTAAAAAGAGTCAGAAAACATACTCTCATAAGAGAATATGAGCTGTTCAAAATGTAAACTGGTGAAAGTATTGCAGATGTGCAAAAGCGATTCACTCACATCATTAATCATCTAATGGGCCTAGGTAAGACCTTTAATAAAGAAGAATTAAATATTAAAGTCTTGAAATGTCTTGACAAGTCATGACAGCCAAATGTCACAGCAATTTCAAAGTCAAAGGATTTGTCTGTCATGACAACAACTTCTTTGTTTGACAAACTCAGAGAACATGAAATAGAAATTAACAGATTTAATGAACAAGAAGTCTCTGAGAAGAAAAACAGAAGTATAACACTCAAAGTTGAAGAAAGAAATTAAGAATCTGAGGAGGAAAGTGAGAATCTTGGGTTGCTTGTCAGAAAATTCAACAGATTTCTCAAGAAAAAGATTCAAGACAAGGAAAAACATAAAAGGTATGAGAAAAAAATTGATTCTTCTAAATTTAAATGTTATGGCAGTGGTAAGCAGGGCCATGTAAGAATGGAGTGCCTAGAGAAGAACAAATATAATGGCAAGAAATAAGAGAAAGTCAAAAGAAGAGCCTATGTAGCATGGGATGACAATGACATTTCATTAACAGACAATTTTGATAATGAAGAAGCCAACTTGTGTCTAATGGCAAATCAGAACCTTCAATCCAGCAGTGTAAGTTCTAATTCTTCTTCAAATTTAGTGAATTATAATTCATTACAAGAAACATTTAATGAAATGCATGAAGAGGCTAAAAAACTACAAAAAGAAAATGATAGGCTAAAAGGATTGAATAATTAGCTAGTAAATAAAGTAGACTCTCTTGAAAAGAGAATTCTTGAAGATGAAATTGATTATGATTTCTTAAAATTAATTTATGATAATTTTGATTGTGCATGTAATAAATTCTGTAATAATTGTTCAGAATTACAAAAAAAAATTGATTTTTTATCACAAACTGTTTCAAGGTTTACACAAGGTCAA